TCACGCCCACATTGCCATCTAGCCTCTCGCTCGGGGATGTGCAGCTCGCCACCCTCACCCCTGCCAACCGAGCGATGCTCGCTTCGGACCAAAGTCCGGCCTTTGGCTGCATCGCCCCCGGTTCGGCCAGGGTTTTGACCGTCGTCCCCTCCTCCCAGCCCCCAAAGTCACCGGCTGCCTCCCCCAGCTCTGGGCTCCATCCACCCTGCTGGCGCAGGGCCATAAGCCGGGGCCGCCTGTCTCCCAGCCTCGGTCTCCAAGCAGATGGAAGACATCAGCTCCCCGCTGCATCCCTCTGTGATAATCTGTCTCACCCGCTTCCTTTGGGGGACACCCCCTTCTCACGACCAGCTAATCCCCAGTGCTCTCCTGTCTCTTTCCAGACCCTTTTTCCAGACCCCCATCATATGTCTTTTCTGGGCAAGCATCTCCCCAAAGGCCATCTATCCCTACCCATGCAGGATGCCCTGAAAAAAGACCTCTCTCTCCCAACTCCCATGGAAGAAAATCTGGGCACGAAGTCCCCGCCGTTGCCTGGGGAATAGGCACCCTCTTGGGAACTTCATCTGATGCAAACCCCAGATCCAAACTCACGGGAACAGAGGCTGACCCAGGGACCTGGTCAGAACTGATCAAGGAGGCACATGTAACGGGGCAAGACGACCTTGGGAGGACTCTGCCTTTGGCTTCCCCTTCCCTCTGGAGCGGGTGGCAGCTCCCCCGGAGGCTGCACAGAGGGTGAGAGGATTCCTCCTGAGCACCGTTTCATGCTGGGAAGTTTTCCCATTTACCACATAAAATCACGTTAATAGCAGAATAATAAACATGAATAGGGAGCAGGGGAGAGAATGACCTTCCGGCAGCAGCTGAGGTAGGTGGTGTTTTGGGTTTCCTTCAGCTCCTTTGAGGGAATCATCCCACACCCTGCAGCCATCCTTCAAGAAAAGGACCTGCAAGAATTGCTGCCCATAGAGCAAATCGCATCTTATTTCCTAGAAGGATGCATGCACAAAGGAAAAACCTCCCATTTGGGGAGAGCTCAATCTGAGGTGGATCCCAAAAAAGGGTGCTGCAAGCCAGAGCCCAGGAAACCCAGCAGCTGCTCCCGGGACACCACTGCCTCGCCATGCAGAAGGCCCTGGCACATCTGGAGCAGAGCAGGGGCCAGCCTGCAAGTTGAGAACAAGCAGATATCATCCCCCTGTGCTGAAACAGAGGAGAGGACCTGATTGCGGCCGCCCAGTGCTTAAAGGGGGCCCAGAGGAAAGGGGGGGACAAGCTTTTTAGTAGGGCCAGCTGTGACAGGACAAGGGGGGATGGTTTTAAACTGAAGCAGGGTAGGTTTAGACTGGATCTAAGGAAGAAATTGTTTCCACTGAGGGTGGTGAAACCCTGGGAGGGGTTGCCCAGAGAGGGGGTGGAGGCCCCATCCCTGGGAACATTGCAGGCCAGGTTGGACAGGGCTGTGAGCAACCTGATGTGGTTAGCGGTGTCCCTGCTCCTGCAGGGGGGTTGGGCTGGATGGGCTCTAGGGGTCCCTTCCCACCCAAAACATTCTATGATTCTACGAAAATGAAGGAAAAGAGTGAGGCCAGAGATCCTACATCACGCTGGGCTGCTGGCAAGTCACCCTCCATCCGCTCCTGCCTGTGTGGGCTCTGCCACCGGGGCAGCCACGGGCTGACCACCCCACAACCACGGCGGGGCCGAATTCAGTGGGACGGGCAAGAGGAGGCTAAGGGTTCATCCATGAGCCAGGCCCCTTCCCGTCAGAGAGATGCTGCTACAGGCAGCGCCTGGAATTTGCCAAGCAGAGAGCTGTCGCCGTGGGCCGGGGATTTCTGCTGAGGCCATCTTCCTCGTTAGGGGAAGACGGGTAAAAACTGCAGGAGACGCTCTATGGGATATGCTTAGCTTAGCTGTCTGCATGTCTGGTTATTAAGCTCTGAGGTTAAGGATTTAGTTCCACATATCAGTTTACTTAGAAATAAAGCATCGCTTCACATTTTAATCTCAAGTATGCTGCATTGTCTTGCCCGCTTCCTCTCGTGCCCTCTCCCCATGACCTCTTCCCCAGCGAAACACTGGAAAGTTATTAGCAAATATTCTGTGAAATATTTAATATCCAAACAGCAGGGTCTGTGCATCCCATGAGAGACTCGTAGCCCTTATGGTCAGGACAAGAAAAACAAGGATTGTTTGCAGGCCCCCGGGTCCTACTGGGGGACGGTTTGAGGCTGGAGCTGTTGCCAAGCAAAAGCCTTGCGGTAAAGCAGCCTTTTAGGTGAGTTATAAACCAGGCTGGCTGGGACCGAGGTGTTCCAGCTTGGGACCGACCCCACGTCCGCTGTGCCCACAGCCTTTGCACTGAAATGAAATACCCCGTGCAAGTGCCATTTGAAAGTGTATTTTCCAGCCCTGCGTCAATGGAAGCCATCTTCCTCTTCTGTTCTCAAAAAGATTTACACGGAGGAAGTCTGAGCTCCTCCTGTCTGCAGGAAGGGCACGACAGATGTCAATTGGCTTATGATTTGCTTACAAAAAAAAAAAAAAAAAAACAAAAAACCTGTAAAAGTATTTGTTTATGTGTGTATCGGGGTTGGGGGACTTTCAAAGGTTGCAGAAGGTTTTCTAAAGCAAGACTGCAGAGCTGTTAAGTGGCATGAACACTTTCCCTAAAAATGCATAAAAGCATACACCCTTTTTCTAGTCAAAAATACTTTAGCCTGCTACCAGGACGAGCTTTGAAAAAGCTAAAAAACACACCTGAAGTGGGCTGTGAGGATTTATCCGCTGATGGCAGGGCACAATGCTGGCTTTCACACCCCTCAGCCAAACTTGGGCATGCTCAGCACCCTGCAGCCCTGCACAAACCTTCCCCGGTGCCAGGATTGGACCCGTGCACCCAGCTCTCGCTAAAGCCCCTTGAGCAGAGCCTAGCTGGTCCCACACCCCCAGCCCGACTCTGCTCCTGAAGCCGCCCAGCTCCCCACACCCGCAGGGCAGGCACCAAGCATCGCCAAAGGGCTGGGAAGCTGCTCGTAGAACAGCGCTCATCCCCCCCAAAAAAAAGAGCCCTGGGAGCATCCCACACTGATGTGGGAATAAATTCAACCAGAGGAAAAAAAGGCAGCGAGCAATGCCCGAGCAGCCAGGCTGTGCCGTGCCCCTGTGACATGGCAGCAAACCCCACCCGAGGGAGGGAGGCCAGTCACGCTCCTCGCTGTGACTGCATGCACGGTTTGCTCACCATCCCGCTTAGCAAAATGGCACGAACGTCACTTCTGAGCATGTCGAGTGGCTCCTGGAAGCTGACTGCACTCGGATAAAACTGGAGAGACTGACACCAGCCAGGCGAGCGTCCACGCCGCTGCTATGCCAGCAGGCACACACCTATGAAGCAAGCAGGCTGAAGGCTTAAAGGCTATATCTGTGGTGGTCAGGAGGACTCAGGGCAGCAGACCCAATGTCCACTGGCCCATGGACAACAGCAAACAAGGAGCGTGCTGCCAGCAGCAGTTGATTCTGCCTTCCCACAGAACTGGGCAGCTTGGGCTCCTCCAGTTCACAGGGAAGTTTTACTAAGCGGGACAGTGCCATTACTTAAAGGCTGAGACTGAATTTACATGTGAAGTATCATCTTATCTGTGTTACCTGGAGTAACGGAGCACAAGTGGATCCAGGGCTCACCTTTTCCATGGGCAACATGGATTCCACAGTGGGGAGCATGGGGAAGATACATCTGCCAAGGAGTAACTAAAGCGTGGAATAGCTCAGCACTGCAGTCTTCAGATCTTCACATAGCAGCAACGCAGGGCCAAGGTAAGGAGTTTTCCCAGCACAATAGGTAGAAGGGGAGGTGGAAGGACAAGGCACAGCCAGCCGTCACTGCCACCAGACCTGTGAGGAGTCAGCTCAGGGGCCAGACTCCTGCTGGCTGCATCCCCTGCACTCCTATTTCTAGGAGTGCTCTGCCCTGATGACCCTCTACTTGCCACAAGCACTAAGCTTCTCTGCTCAGCTCCGTATAAAGGCTCCTAGATGACAGCCGGCCCTGAAAGTAATACAGTAGCATTTGCCCAATATTGTGTCTAAGCTAGGGAGGCTGGACAACAACCAGTCTCACCAACCGACACCACGGACAACGTCTGACATAGTCCCAAAAAGCAGTCCAAAAGGAAGCTTCGTCCTGTGGACTTTTCAAATCTGAACCCAGCCGCTGCGTTACTCAGAGAACACATTTTCCTCAGGTTGGTCAGGTGGAGAGCATAGGCTGCATCTCAAACCTACCCCCATTCACCTCCCCTTCCCCATCTCTGGCATACCCTGTTCAACCACGCGCCACTGAAGTTGTAGGCCATCATGCTCTCCCAATAATGGTTCCTCCTAAAGACTTTTCTTAGGCAAAGTCATAGAAACTAATCCTTTTATTGAACACGCCCAAGGAACCAGTAGTTCTTTATATCTCTCTCCTACTCTATTACATGTGACTCCATTTTGTAGACCCCGCTGTCACTGGGCCAGGGACTGGTGCTTTGTCTTGCTCCTGGGGAACTGGGAAAGGCAGAAATAGGGAAAAAGAGAGCACAAGCAGTACAAAACAAGAAGGATTTTCATGTTCTCACTTTACTGATTAGCAACCAAATTAACATCACCGGAGCAGTAAGGGTGAAGGACCATTTCCCAACCACACTGCAGATGTTCTATGAAATAAATCAACCTTCTTTTGGAGAAAAACAAAGTATTTCAACATTTAAACTAGTTGCTTGTACTTAAACAGGAAGAGATACTCTCGATGAACCTCAACTTTTTCACATTTCACCGTTTTCTAGAAAAGGACCAAGGAACAGCTACTGTATGAAAGGATATATACAGGATTGCCAGAGACCTTTCTTAGCTTTCATACAAAGTTGCGGGCGATGGCCAATACTTTGGAGAACTCGCCTTTCCGTCGCAGGATATAGGGTATTGGTGTTTTTATTCTAGTCCCTATTGGATTTCCGTTGTCTTCTATGAGTACCACATTGTTGGAATCAAATCTAGGTGTCAGGGGGGGGCCAGGCATCTTGTGCCCTACAATTAAAGCCTTCTTCTTTTCACCTTTGATAGCCAGAAGGATCTTATCTCCTACTTTGCCAACTCCAGTCTTGTTATACACGTGGATGCATTTCGGTGGCCGGTGGTATGGCGTGTTCCCCAAGGCGCTGTTGTCCACCACTCTCACGCGGGTGAGTTTCTGTATTGCTCGGCATGCTCCAGTGATACTAGCAAAAGACAGGAAAGAATGAGAGACAGTTCTCCTCAATAATCCTTGGGGAGCAAGGGCAAACCCAGCACAGGATCTTGTCATTACACAAACCACTTGGAAGGCGCCAGCAACGAATACGTACCATATGGGTGACACATTTACTGCATTCAGTGTGCTCTTTGAAAGCCAGATGCTACTTTGGGCTTTGCAGAGTCTTCACTGAATGTCAAACATAAAACGACCATTCTGCTTTGAAACACGACTAGAAGATGGCGTGAAGGGTGGCTTGCATTTACTGAGCTTTTTAGCAACTGCAGCTGATTCCATTCAACTTCAATTTACAAGCAAAAAAATGTGCTTGCTTCTGCCACAAACAGCCTAGAGGAAGCTAAGACTCAAGTCAGCGCTTTCAATCTTGTACAATCCCCAGCAATAAGGACTTTTCTGACCAATCTCCTTTTCAGTGAAGTCTGTGAGGGTCTTCCATCTTATTCCGCTCTCAGTGAGCCCTCTGAGGTCCTGCTGTGGCTGTGCTAAGCTCCGACCAGCTAGAATCTAATAGATCATCACTTTCCCCATGCGGGAGGAACCCAGAGAGATGCGGTCTCTTCTGTATCTGTTTGCTCTGTGGGATTAGCAGGTGTAAGAAACAACAGAAATAAACTGCATGATACTAAGTTGTTAGATCGGGCTCTGAATATG